CTTCAGCTTCAAAACTCAAAACATTTAAGAACTTTCAAAATGTTTCAATTGCCGTCGTTTCATTTCGAGGCTGTTTTGAAGCCTTTCGTTTTGTTTTGATTTCAGTGTTTCAAGCTTGAAATGAGTCAAAACAGCATCAAAACAGCTGGCAAAATTTTGCACAGCCCTAGTGCACAACTCCTAGCACCTGGGTGGTAGGGGGTGCCTGCTGGGGCTAGCAGCATGGCCAGCAGAAGCATAGAGCTCTGGTTGTCACTGGCAGGGGCCAGACTGCAGTAGTGGGGTGCTGGGTGTCACTGGCAGGAACAGGGAAAGGAGCAGCCCTGGTGCAGGGAGGCAGGGTAAGCAAGGAGGGAGCTGCAGTGTGCTGTCCCTGTGCTGGGCACACAGCTCCTGGGCAAGGAAGGAGCTGGCCAGGGATCAGAGGGCAAAAATGTGTTTCCAAGATGGCTGCCACATGCTGCCAGCTCACTCTGGCTTCAACATGGCTGCCAACTAATGGCAGCCATGTGTCTGGAAGCTGGAGCTCCTCCCAGTGGCCACAGGGGCACATAACAGAGCTGAGACAACCTGGAAGTGAAGTTAGTCCCAAGTCCCACTGTTAGGGTGACAATAATTTGGATTTTGGGAAGCATTGGATTTGCTGCTGAATTAAGGCTTTTTTCTGTGTCTCAGAAGAGCTGCTGGTCACAAGGCAGGATGATATATTAAGACTAACCTTGCAAATGCTTAGGTAAGCAGTTTTCTAACAAGGTCATAGTGTTAGAACCCATTGTGTAAGAATAACAAAATGCAGCCCACGAGCTATCATCAGGAGATAAAGCAGAAGCAAGACCTTGGAGCTGAAATGGAGTCAGCAAGAGCCAGAAAGAACCAGTGATTGACCGAGAGTACCCAAGTTCATGGTGTTATGCATGTGCTCTTAGCGGAGAGACTGGTAAATGAAGGAAATACATAAGCAATTCTATGCTAATGAAGTAAATCATAAACTGAGGCAAAGCTTGGGATGGGAGGAGAAATGGGTGGAACCCGAGGAGGATCATAGGTGGAGTGAATGTTAATGAGTATGAACCAAGATGTATAAAATGTGAAAAGAACTAATGTTCAGGGCTGCTCCCCGTGTTCATAGACTGGATGTCTGTGAGGGAGCTCACCTAAAGCTGTCTCCATTCTGAATAAAGCTGTTGCGAGTGATGTCTGCTGGTGTTTGCTCCCTCTTTGCTCTGGCTAATGAATAACAGGATCCATGGGCAATTGGACCGTCATCTCCCTAATCGTTGGGCACTGCATGGAGTTGGAGTCTAACACCCACCACATTTTGACACCTGCTTTCAAAACCTGCTTAATCTACATTCATTTAATGAGCATTACATTTAAGCCCACTTAAATTCATGTGTAGATGTGCCCACAGAATACCCATATATATTACACACATTGCACATACACATTCACACACACATATATACATGCACAATTTTTGCATGCCTAACTCAGAAAATCTTACCAATAAGAGAGTTTAAAAGAGTTTACCAATGGCAGTTTGGTGATTTCAGATATAAAAATAATATGAACTAAAAAAGCTTGTTCTTATTTACTCTAAGAAATTGACTAATTTTGGCATTAAGAGGTAGTTTGGCAAATAAAGTTATGCACTGATGGAAGAATATGTCATAAAGTCATTGATCACCCCAGAGGTTCTGAAGTTCAAAATACAAAAAATCATTTTTCCCCAACAAGCCCTCTGTGGGGATCTGCAGAGAGTAATTTAAAAAGGCAGTAGGGGTGACAGAAATAAGTTAGCCCCCTCCTAAAAAGGAAGTGTTCACCCTCTCCATTCTATCAAGTCATTCTTCATCCTTTTCAGGAAGTGATCAATTCAGTTAATTAAATAGGCTGCAGGGTAGCAAAAAGTTCAGTCTCCTTCACTACTCCTCCTCCTGCTTTAGAAATGCTTTCTCCTGTTCCAAATTTTACATAAATATTCCAAAGAATGAAGACAGAAAGCTAAGGCTTGGTATAGAATGTTAACTGGAACAAACAAAGTGTTTCAAGAGAAAAAAATAAAAGGATGATGTTGTTTTATCATGCTAGGTAATTTTTAAATGGAAAATGGAAAGAAGACAGAGTGAGGAACTCTAGACTTAAAGGGGGAGATAGAAAAGTGATTAATGAAGTTAGGTGAATATGGCACCATGCTACAGACAAGTGACAGCCAGGTCCTCAGTGTTCTTTTGTTTGTTCTACTGGACAAACTTTCCATAATAAAGAAAGGGAGCATCAGGTTTATAGCCACTCTTAATAGCTCACATCATGATAGTGTCTGAACACCTCACTTAATGCATGAGAAAATAGATGCAAGCTAGAGCAGCACTATTACTCCCAGATCAGGAACCAAGACACAGAGACACTAAGTGACTTGCCAGTGGTCATGTAGCAAATCCTTGCGAATGCAGGGTTTTGTACCTCAGTCTCCTGATGTCACCTGCCAGAACTATAACCATGAGACTGTATAATGGGCCTATAAACTCCATAGGGCTAACTCAACATATATAATTTTGCACATTTCAGGCACAAGTAATGCTTTTGTACAATGTGGTGCCACTGCCACACAACCCTTCAGCTTCAAATAAGCTTTCAGCTTCCTGTGTACCCACTAACAGGGACTTATCTCACACCCAAGTGCAATTAATTAATTAGTTGTGCAGTGATCTCCCACTGTGAGACAGGTTGATATTCCACTGGATGAGTCAGAACCTGGGTTGCTCAAACCCTGGCCTGTCCTTGGCTTTCAGAAAAAAGGAGGCCTAAATAAAGAAGGTTTATTGATAAATTGCCTCCTTCTGGGTGAACAATGCTTCTTTTCCTCTGGGTCTAGCTGGTGGCTGCTTAGGTCGAAAAAGAAGGCTTTGACCTTACCTGATGCAAAATTGTGTAAAGGATAGGTAACTGAAGGGGCTAACATCTATGAAGGGGGATACTTATGGGCAGCCAGTCCCATATGACTAAGGCCTCAATCTATCAGTGCCTCAGAATACCCATGTATAAAATGGGAACATAGTTTCCTTTGAACTTCTTTTTGTCAGTCTTGTCAATTCCCAATGTAAATTCTTCAGGGCACTCTCCTGTTTAGTGTGTGTGCAATAGGGCTGTATGAAACAGCACTGTTTTGCTTTGACTTCCATTTTGACATTTCAATGGGACACTGTTTCATTTCAAGTTTCATTTCAAAACCACTGTTCCATTTCATTTTGTCGAAACTGTTTTGCTGTTTCAACGTTTTGCCCTTAGGCTATAATGGGGAAGCACAAAATTGCCTATAACTTTGTCATTTCTTGCCTGATTCAGTTGAAACTTGTAGAGGCAGTAGCACCTTCTGAGGTCATGAAGTCTGCCAAGTTTCAAGGAGATAGGTGGGTGTAGGGGTTTCTAGGAAATTGCACCTCAAAATCTTGAAAGCAAAACTCGTGTCATGTGTGCGTGCTAAGGCACAGTGGGGTGAAAACTGCTGGCATGGTAGCCCCTGCTGAGGCCATGAAGCCTACTAGCTTTCAAGGAGATAGAGGCAGGGATTTCTGGGAAATTGCACCTCAGGCTGCTGACAAGCAAAACTCATCACATGGGTGACACTGTGTGTGTGTGTTAAGGCGCTCTCACTGGTGCTGGGGCCTCTACACTACACAGTAGTGTGCCCCCATGAGGCCTCCTCCTCCCCTATAGCCTCATTTTGGTCCACCACTTCAAATGACAACAGGTAAAATAATAACTTAGTGAGCAGCAGCACAGTAGCACCAGCAGCATCTCAGGCGGCCAAATTGTCATAGAGCTTTTCTTTCCTCTCCTGTAGGAGCTTCTTCTCCAGCAGCTGCCAGAGAACTCTCCCTGCCAGCCCCAGCCCTGGGGCTTAGATGTGCCCAGGGCTCTGCCTCCTTCCAGTCAGGTACTCGGGGTGTTGGTCTAAGGACATGCCACTGGCAGACAAGCCAGTCTTGGGCCAATCTAATCTGGTATCTTTTAGCAGACCAACTGAATAGTTACATAAATATATCTTAGCAAGCTTTCAGGTTGAAAAACCCTTTGTTAGGCTGAGAAAGCACCTGCAGTTGGTGTGTATGTGTGCTGCTTCTGGATGGAAGGAATAGTAAAGAAGCTGGAGACTAGCATGAAATTCAGGAAAGAAAGCCAGTCAGTGAAAATGGAAATGGAGGTGTCAGGGGGTGAGGGACAGGCGGCGGGGGGGAGGGAAGGGGAAAGTAGCAGCACAGGTAAAAGTGGAGAGGTACCTGAGGAGTCAGATGTCCGGCAGGTTGTAGTGTGTCAGAATTCCAATGTCTATATTGAGTCCATGAGTTTCTGTACCTTGGAGGTTGATTAAGTGAAGTTTGTAGGCTCGTCTGTGAAAAGTGGTTTGCAAATTCCCTTTGAGGATCACGCCTGAGAGACTGGAGACAGGTGGTGTTCTATTGTCTTTGAAAGATTTTTGGTACGCACTCATTCTGGTGTGCAGTTGTTGCCTGGTGTCTCCATGTGTTTTCCATCCGGGTACTGCTCCCATCTCCTTGCCATTTGTAGGAAAGAGGTTGTGTCTCAGTTTGCAGGGGGGTGAGGGAAACTTACACCTCTTCCTCTACCCCCTCTCCCATCCCTCCCTGAAGGCTTGCCAGCTGCCTTTCCACTATACTTCATGGTATGTTTCATAGTGTCTTGTTTCTATAAAAATATATAAATGTATCTGTGTTCTTATATAAATTCTATAAGGTATGTAACATGCCACATACTATATATGTATACAAATAGAATATAAATGTATCTCTGTAACAGGGAACCCTAGCCCTGTCACCAGAAGAGAGGTCAGCCCCTTTAAGGCCAGAACTTTCTGGGCACAGAGTGCCAGTAAGGAGGGGGTTAAATGCTGAGCCTGGCCAGCTAGTCAGCTGACTGGAAGGGGCAGGCCAGGACTATAAAATCCCTGGGCAGAGCAGCAGTAGGGGCCAGCAGCCAAAGGGGAAGGAGTGCATCCCAGAGCTCCAGAGAGGTTGGGTGAGTGGTCCAAGGCTGGATGAGGGGAATTACAAAGGACCCTGGAGGGACAGCAGCAACCCCAGAAGGAAGTGCGTAGCTGATGGTGGGGAGCCGAAGCATGAACCCTGTGAAAATGTAAACTGTTCATGCTGCCTTCTTTAATTACATTTTTGGGTGGCAGCTATTGCCCATGGACAGGACTGTTTATATATATATATATATATATTTTATTGAATAACTCCAGTTGTTTGGGTGACACTATCAGGGGAAGGAGGAGGCCTCATTTGGGGGCCCACTACAGAGTGGGGACCCCAGCACCAGTGAGTGCGTGGCTTTGGGGGGGGCTCAGATGCCAGTGCCAGCAAGGGTAATACTTTTGGGGCTCAGACCCCGATGCCAGCAAGGGCACGGCCTTTAGAGATACATAGGTGCCAGTGTGGGCTCAGGATTTTGGGGTGCCCTGACTCCCGTACCAGAAGGCATCATCTTAAAAGGCCAGGGTGGTCTGGTGCACCTGTGGTGCAATTTTATTTATTATTTATTTTTTTGGATGGAGATGATGCGAGTTTGTGGCGATTTCCTGGCTTTGAACCTGTGACCCTCTGGCTGTGGGGGCCGGTGGCCAGGGAGGCTGGGCTGCAGAGTGGAGCAGAAAAGAGTACCATGAGTCCCAAGACACCGAAAAAGACTACAGCCTTAGAGTCAAACCCTGTTTGGTGGGTTTAGACAGGAAGGCCTAGCTAGAGAAAGACCAAAGTCAAGGCCCATGGAGGCAAAAGGCCCCAACATACGAAATACAATAGGCAGTCTCCCGCTTACAAGAACATCAGCATCATAATTTCCATCAAGACATGGCAGGCAAGTAGAGACCGGGACATAAGAACCTTAAAGAAGACTCCAAGGGTGCCCCATGTAAGGCGCGGATTAACAGGGAAGATGGCACTGGGGAGGGTGACCTGTTACATTGGTGCATTGGCCGGGAATTTTCCTACTGTAACATGTACCCTCAGATGATGGCTGGCCCAAATGAAAGAAAGAACCCTTGGGTCCAAGAAGGAGGCAGGAAAGACTGGATAGACCCAAGCCTTGGATTTAGGGGCACATTGGGGGTATTGAATTCACATGTCAAGTGGTCCACAGTCTGCAGAAAGACAACAGGCATTGCTAGAAAAGCTGGTGAGGGACATACCAACAAACCGAGTCCCCCATGAGGGCATTTGTGGGTATGGCGCCAGGGTTTGCCCTGAGCCATGAAAGGAATGGCCCACTGTAATGGTAGATTTGAGGCTCGAGGGACAAAAGATACGGGCAATGTTGGATTCGGGCTCACCATACACAATAGTGTGGAGAGACACCTTACCAAGAAGAGAGAGGGAAGTGGTGGATCAGATAAGCATTCGATGTTGGTACAGGGAGGCTCAAAGACAAGACCGAATGTGGGTTACTTTGCAAGTAGGTGAGAAAATATGCCGCATGCTGGTTGGAGTGGCTGAGCACTTACCCTACCCGATGATGCTGGGATGCGACTGGCTGGAGCTTCTGACAGTCATAGCCCAAGCATACAGTTTGAGAGGGTTGAGGAAAAATTGAGATGCTCCACAATACTACCCTAGTCACACTAGGGGGAAAGTCTCTGAGGAGTCAGAGGCAGAAGAAGACCCCAGCTGGAGACCACTGGGAGCAGGGAAAAGAGGATGCAAGACCGCGAGGTCTCAGGTGGTACCTGAGGATGATCTTATGGCAGAGGCATTTGCTGGTGAGCCTGAACTACCTCTATCAGAGGAAGAAGCAGAACAGGATGTGGATGTGGCACACTTGTGGGAAGATGAACATTTCTGATTGGAACAGAGCTGAGAAAAAGGGGTTTCGGTATGCCTTCCAGGAACACCTAGCCCAGCAGAATGGGGAGGTGCTGCAACCAGAGGTGATGCAGACCACTCCACAATTTGAAGAGAGGAACGATCTGTTATATAGAGTTGAATGTGGAAAACCTGGGAAAGAGGAAGTAGTACAATTGCTGCTACCTTGGTGATACCGAAAGGCCCTACTGAAAGTAGCTCATGAACTCCCTATGGGCAGACATTTGGGGTGAGACAAGACCAAAGCTCACATTAGGGGAAGATTTCTTTGGCCGGGGTTAATACAGGAAGTAGCCAAATACTGAGCATCTTGCCCCATGTGCCAAAAAGTAAACCCTAGTCATCCTCCAAGAGTCTCATTAGCACTACTGTCTTTGGTGGAAGTCCCCTTTGAGCAGATGGCCGTGGATATTGTGGGGCCACTGCCAAGAAGTAGTGCTAGGCACCAATTTATTTTGGTCCTCCTGGACTATGCAACAAGGTATCCGGAGGCCATGCCTATGCGGGCGGTGTCTGCCTCCAAGGTGGCAGAGGAGTTAGTAAAATATTCTCCCAAGTGGGGCTCCCTAAAGAACTGGCGACTGACCAAGGGATGAACTTTACATCTCATGTGTTTGAGGGAGAAACTGATGGGCTAGTGGAGTGTTTTAACAGTACCCTGAAACCAGATGCTGAAGAAGTTTGTGGAAGAGAGCCCCCAGAAGTGGGATCACATGTTGCCGCCCTTGTTGTTTGCGGTAAGAGAGGGACCCCAAGCCTCAACAGGGTTTTCCCCTTTTGAACGGCAACCAAGAGGGATTCTCCTTTTCCAGACGGCAACCAAGGGGAATTCTGGATTTTCATAGTTTCAAAGTTGGTAGGGTTGGAAGGGACCTGAGCAGATCATCAAGTCCGACCCCCTGCCATGGCAGGAAAAAGTACTGGGGTCAAACGACCCCAGCGAGGTGTTCATCTAACCTCCTCTTAAAGACCCCCAGGGTAGGAGCCAGCACCACTTCTCTTGGAAGTTGGTTCCAGATCCTAACTGCCCTGACAGTGAAGTAGCGCCTCCTGATATCTAGCCTGAATCTACCCTCTGCCAGCTTGTGACCGTTATTTCTAGTCACTCCTGGTAGTACTCAGGGGGGGAAAAGGGACTCCCCTAATCCCTGCTGGTCCCCTCTGACTAGTTTGTAACAGGCCATTAGATCCCCCCTCAGCCTTCTCTTGTGGAGGCTGAACAGGTTCAGGTCCCTCAGCCTCTCCTCGTATGGCCTGCACTTCTGCTCCCTGATCATGTGGGTGGCCCTCCTCTGAACCCTCTCAATGCTGTCCACATCTCTCCTGAAGCGTGGTGCCCAGAACTGGACGCAGTACTCCAACTGCGGCCTGACCAGTGCCGCATAGAGGGGGAGGATCACCTCCTTGGACCTGCTTGAGATGCATCTGTGGATGCATGACAAGGTATGGTTGGCCTTCCTGACCACGTCCCCACACTGTTCGCCCATGTTCATTTTGGCATCAATAATGATTCCAAGATCCTTTTCTGCCTCTGCACTGACAAGAAGGCAATTCCCCAGCCTGTAGGTATGCTGCTGGTTCTTCCTCCCCAGGTGCAGTACCTTGCACTTGTCAGTGTTGAAACCCATCCTGTTCTCATCTGCCCACCCCTGTAACCTGTCCAGGTCCAATTGCAGCCTATTCCTCCCTTCTAGCATGCCCACATCCCCCCATATCTTAGTGCCATCAGCAAATTTGAATAGGGTGCTTTTTACCCCCTCGTCCAAGTTGCTGATGAAGATGTTGAATAGCGCAGGTCTGAGGACACAGCCCTGGGGGACCCCACTGCCCACATCCCTCCAGGTGGAAAATGATTTGATCAAGGAAAGCTGGGAAGAACAACAAAAGTAAAGAGCGGAACCTGGTTCAATACATGATCCAACTGAGAGAACGCCTGGAGTCAGCATGGAGGGAAGCTTTAGGAAATTTGAGGGAGGCCCAAGAGTGGCAAGCAACCCATTACAATTGAGGGGCTTGAGAAAGGAGATTTGACTTAGGAGACCATGTACTGGTACTCTCTTGCCAGACCAGGAGAGTAAGTTACTAGCATGATGGCAAGGCCCTTATGAAACAACATGCCAAATAGGGCCTGTAGATTATGAAGTACATCAGCCAGACAAGCAAAAGAAAAAACAGGTATACCACATTAACATGCTGAAGCCATGGCAAGAACAAGAGTGCCTGTACTTGGCCCTCCAACCAGACGAAATGGAACTAGGACCCTCCCTGAGGGAGAAGGAGGGGAGAAGTGAGGTGGAAGTAGCTCCAGGACTCTCTGAAGAGCAGAGGCGACAGGCAATGAAACTAGTGAAGGAATATGGAGACGTGTTCCAGGAGGTCCCCGGGGAGGCTCGAGGCATGATGCATCAAATAAGGACCCCTGCAGGCCCTCCAGGCCAGGTGATCCACGAGAACTGGAGGCAAATCCCACAACAACTTCAAGGACAGATAAAAGAGGAGCTTGAAATGATGTTAGAAAACTGCACAATACAAGAGTCCTGAAGTGACTGGCACAGCCCCATTGTGGCCATGCCAAAGCCAGATGGAAAAATTAGGCTCTGTATTGACTTCCGAAAAGTAAATGCGGTTGCGAAGTTTGATGCCAGCTATATCTCCACGTTGGACCTAACGAAAGGCTACTGGCAGGTCCCCTGAGGACCAAGAAAAGACCGCCTTTGCCACACCATGGGGCCTATTCCATTTCCAATGCATGCCATTTGGATTACACGGGGCTCCTGTGACATTTTAGTGGCTAATGGACAGAATCCTAGGTCTGCATGGGGGTTACGCTGTGGCTTATATAGATGACATTATTGTGTATACCGCAGATTGGTTGGGGCATTTAACAGCACTGCAAGTGGTCCTGCAGGACTTAAGGAAGGCAGGGTTAACCGCCAACCCAAAGAAGTGCACAACTGGAAAGGAGGAAACACGGTACCTTGGTTTCAGGTAGGAAGTGGTAAATTACGACCGCTGTTGGATAAGGTAGAAGCAATAAGGAAGTGTCAAACTCCATGAACAAAGAAACAAGCGAGGGCTTTCTTGGGAATGGCAAATTATTATAGGAAATTCATTTCTCACTTCGCAGATTTAGCAGTGCCCTTGACCGAAATCATCAAGGCGGCAGCTCCAACCAAAGTGAGATGGACACCAGAAGCAGCATTTCAAAAGGTGAGGGATGCACTGTATTCACGGCCACTCCTATATATGCCAGACTGCAATAAACCCTTTATGGTATTGACAGATGCATCATACTGGGCTATTGGTGTGGTGTTGGTCCAAATGGAGGAAGGAGAAGAACACCCAATAGCATAAGATAAGTAGAAAGTTGCACCCACCTGAGCAGAATTATGCGACAATAGAGAGAGAATGTTTGGTGATCAAATGGGCAATAGAAACGCTATGGTATTATTTGCTAGGTCAGAAGTTCACATAAATCATGGACCACGCCCCTCTGCAATGGCTTCAACACTTGAAGACTGATAATGCAAGGCTGATGAGATGGGCTCTGTCTTCAACCATACTGTTTTGTGGTGAAGCATCATCCAGGGACCAAGAATGTAAGTGATGACTTCTTGTCACGACAATATGAAGAGGAAAAGGGTTCAGAGGGGAAGGAAAGACCCTGGACAAAAGAGAAGAGGGGGGGGGCATGTAACAGGGAACGCTAGACCTGTCACCAGAAGAGAGGTCGGCCCCTTTAAGGCCAGAACTTTCTGGGCACAGAGTGCTGGTAAGGAGGGGGTTAAATGCTGAGCCTGGCCAGCTAGTCATCTGACCGGAAGGGGCAGGCCAGGACTATAAAATCTCTGGGCAAGCAAGTAGGGAATCATTCAAATCAATGGTAGTAGTAGCCTTTGTTGTCTAATGCTCCTGAGCTGCTGGAAGATAGCTTACTAACTGTCAAACCCCAAGGCAGAAAGCAGGCCAGCTCAAACAATGCTGCTTTTTTATGCTGTTTTTTCCATCCCTCCCTCAGAGCACTGGAATTGGGAGGAACCTCAGGGAAGGATCACAGTCACTGGCCAGCTACACAGTTAGTCAATATGAGAGCAGTGCTTCCCCACTCTTCTTTCGGTTTCCCTGCAGGTAACCCCAGCTTGAGCTTCAAAGCTCAAAACGTTTTGAAACTTATTGACTGACCTTGTTTTGCTTCAGGGCTGTTTTAAAGCCCTTCATTTCATTTCAATTTCACTGTTTCAAGCTCAAAACAAGTTGAAACAGCATTGAAACGAAATAGCCAGCGAAATTTCTCACAGCCCTAGTGTGCAGCACCTAGCTTTGATTTAGTTGTTGCTTCTAGCTACTACATATAAAACAAATATTGTGTGGCTGTTCATGAGGATCCTGGACAATGGTTCAGACCAGGGGTGGGCAAAATGCGGCCTGGGACTGGATGCGGCCCACCAGGCCATTCTATGCAGCCCATGGGGCCCCTAAAAAATTTAGAAAATGAATATTTATCTACCCTGCTCTACCTGTCATGCAGCCCTCGATGGCTTGCCAAAACTCAGTAAGCGGCCCTCTGCCCAAAATAATTGCCCGCCCCTGGTTCAGATCTTCAGGTCATAGAAGCTGAAGACTCAAGAGGCATTAAAATGGCAGGTGAGATATCCGGTTAAAATGTTATTGTTAATCTATAAGGGACTTTGAAGTTGACAAATGGGTTCACGTCCAATATTTTTTTTCTCTCTGTTTGAAGTTGCTTATCTATAGCCTCCCTGAAGACATACAATTATGTAGTTTTGATGGGTTAAGCAAGTCCCTGAATAGTTATTTTATTGATTGCAGAGAAGCCTCAGAACTCCTTCATAAACTGAGATTTCCAAATTGACAATCCATTAAAAAGCTGAAACTTACTAAAAATAATATTTTAAAAAATCTATATTTTATATTTTCAAAGTCTGCCACATGTATCTGCTTCCTTGGTGAATCTGACTGTGGTTTCTCATTTATAAAATCAGCAAGCATCTGATTTGGGAATTCTGATCCAAACCAAAATTAGTTATGGGAAGAAGGCAAAATCTAGCAAACCACATACAAAAACACAGGGGTCAATGAAGATCTATTTTGAAAGTTTTGCTTAGGTTCTGTTATTGACTTACAGCAGGTGGACTAGACCCTTAGTAAAGAAAAAAATGTACTTTCTTCCAAAACAATCAGTAGTCACCCTGTCATGTCAGCTGAAATAGGTAGGATGGAAATACCCATGTATCAATAAAACCCATGTTATAAAGCCACCAGCTAATTCCTTAATCAGCTCTAATGGATAGCTAGATTTTCCTAATGTAACATACAACAACATGTCTTTTCTCTCAGTGTAGCAGACAATATCATAGGGTTCTTAAAGGCAGTGAGCTGAGCTGATTAGGAGACTCAGCAAGTGTTAGTAAGTGAAATGGAAGACTGACTTACATAGTTTCAACTTCTTACAAAATCAGCCTTTATGAGCTGTTAAACATGCTTTAATTAAACAAAGTCTGAAAGACAATAATTTAAAAGATTCTCAGTGAAATGCTTCTGGTAACAACAGCCTGTTCAGCTATCAGGGTGTTTTGACTACCAGCCAGCTGATCTCTAGTATGCCTACAACTGATAGGAAAGTGAATTTAATAAACGCGATGTCCCAACACTTGTTAAGAAGGCTTTTGAGATTTTCCTTGTTTGCTTGTTTTTCATAGCAGCATTTCATTAAATGGCAAAATTAGACTCAAACGGCAAAGTCAGTGACTTCCAAGTCTCTCTCAAGTTGTATATATCTTCAGGGTTTATACTGCCACTCTTCACAAAGGTACTGGAGAACCTTCCATGTAAAATCAATACCAAAATTGTTTGCTTTTATGGGCCTCTGGCTCATCTTACTTTTCAGATAAAAATTTGTTGGGAGAATGAGAGTGGGGTACATGTTTATGTTGGTTAATTTGTTTGCTACAAATGTATATTTTTAGCGGCAGGTTTTTTATATTCTGAAAGATTCGAATGTTACTTGGTGTATGCCCACAAAGCATTTGACATATATAACTCTTATAATGTGTTATTTATATCTTGCTAACAACTATTCTGTCAATTCTCAGTCATGACTTCCCCTGAAAAATTCTCCAAGTCCTCAAAATACAAATAAGAGCAGTTAGCAGATAAACAAATTAAACTAGGGAAGACAAAATCACTCTTCAGATTGACAGATATTCTAATTTATTTTCAAGGTGGACTAATTAACAGCCAACAAGTCATTAGCCCTACATAACAAAACTGCCATCGTCTGGGATGGAGATATTCAATGGCATATCAGAGCAATCATCAGGATTCATATAAAACAGGAGACATACCATACACCTGTTTCCATGGAAGAAAAAAAATGGAATTTTAATCCTCAAGGATCAAAGAATATAATGAGAGAATCTTCATCAGAAACAGCAGGAGAAGCCTTAGAAGCATTCAGATCTTCAAACCTACCATACTTGCAACAAACACAGCCATCGTCAAGGCAGACAACTGCAAACAGAACCCTATCTGCCTTCACAGGCAATCTGCACTGAGCCATGCCAGTGGCTATGTCCTGAGATCACGAGCCAGATACATACAAGGCAGACATAACAATAATCACCTTTAAAAGCATTTCAGAATCTATTGTTCTGTTACATGTGTATTGTTATTTTTAAGGTTGAGCAATTGTCTTAGAGGAATTCAAATAGCTAAGAATGGGAGGATCCAAGTTAGGTATTGAATAATTAAGATGGGAGTGACAAACCAAATAGCACTTCTGTACCTCTGGCAAAAAGGTTAGCCAGTGTTCAGAGCTTTGCAGGGTTATTCCATTTGAGTAAGATATTGGCAATATAAATCAATTATATTCACTGTAATCTTGTTTATTTAAAAATAAAAGACTACACACAATCCTGTTTCCCTGAGCACAGTAGAAACAAACAAGAGAAATCCACAGGAGTACAATATCATGAGCTCTGCGCTCAAGAAGCTCAGTATGTCAGCTTTTACATATCAGCTCCTTCTGTATTCTTTTCTTCCAACACACATATTCTGCAGCTGATAATTTAGCCACTAGGGACATTTATACACGAAAATCCAGTGCATCAGAGCTGATGCACCCAGCGCTGTGTCATATGCATTTGTATAAACAGCAAAATATGCATCAGTGCTGAAAAAATGACAGTGGTTGTCACAACCCAAAGGGTGTGATTTTTTGTTTTTGTGTGTGCTTTGGCACCACTGAATTATTTTCCCGCCAAATTGTAGCTTTCTTTGCAGTGTGCATTTCTTCTTTGCAGCACAGAGATGCTCGTTGCAAAGAGTTCCCGCCATTTGTATTCTAATTCGAGCCCCATTATTGGCTTGTGTTAAATTATTCACACGTGGCAGCTAGTGATTGGCTTGCTAGCCGTATAAAAGACTTGGGTGGTTTCCGCCCAAGTTGGAGAACTCCGAGGAGAACCCCCGTAAGGGAGGACTCCATGAACACCAGGAGGAGGAGACTTCACGCTGTGTGAAGATCTCTAAGCGCTGTGGAGCCTATCGAACCCAGCGCATTTTAAGCAGGCAACAGGGGTCTGATCAGCCTGTAGCCTCTCCCTGTCGCCGTTCGCAATCCTCGACGTATCCCTCTTCCCTGCGCGCTTTCGTTCCACAAAGCCTAGCAAACTTTGTGTGAGTCTATTTAGAGCTCTTCAAAATTATCCACGGAGCCTCGACAACTCCGTGGGAGTGATCGAATATTGTCTGAGTCCTCAAATGAGGATTTAAGTGGAGCTGTGCCTGGGAAACTGTCCAGCCGACACCGCGACCACCTTCGGTGTAAGTAAACAATCTTGAATCAACCATTAAGCGTCCGTGCCTAATTCTAGCATGTCGCCTGTTCTCTCCGATCCAGCGTGCCCGGGCTGCTGGCCACAGCCCACGCGGAGCGAAAAAGGGCCCGGATCGCTCCCCACCGTCCGCACATGGCGACGAGGATGGGATCGGGAGAGGGCCCGCACAGGTTCAGGCACCTTTGATTCATTTTAGTTCAAAAGCGAGCCATTTCTTAGTGCTGACATACATTTTATATAAACGGTGAAATGCATATGCCGCAGCACTAGGCACTTTTAAAAGTGCCCAGTGCTGCAGCACAAGCATGCGTACAAATGTCGTCTGTCCTCAAGCAGGAAAATCTCTGTTCAGTCTACAAGCCTCACTCTGACCTTCTATAAAGCCTACTTCCCTAGGCAGCCACCACAAGCTGCACACATCAATCAGTCCTCATTACAATGGCATCTAAGGCTCAGTTGCTCTTGCTGCTGAATTTGAAAGACAACATTTGATACAACCAGTCACTTGAATGAGTTTCATGTACATCCATACATCAAAGGCTCACTTATGGGCATTGTTAACACCTTTCAGCATAAATGGGTGCTATACCATATTTTCTCATATACAACACTTCCCCAAATAAACATGCGCCTTTTTTCAGCACCGCAGAACGTAAAAAAAAAATAAATAAAAGGATTTTCCACAGTCATAACCAACTGTATGACCGAGTATGTTCTCCTGTAAATAGTG